GGGCTGCCCTGCCTGGTCTGGGACCACAGGGGCGGAGGGGCAGCCGTCCTGCATCCAGCTGCCTTGGTTCCTGAGCAGTCTTCCTGACTGGCCTCTTTTCTGTTCCATCTGTCTGTGTCCTTAGGGCCCAACCCAGGGCTCAGTCCCAGGCCACCCATGGACAGCTGATTTTTGACATTAGTTGGGTAGGGCAGTCATCCTTGGGATTGGTTCATTAAGAATCAGAAGCCCAGGCAGAGTGGAAGGTGGTCCCCTGCTCCCTCGGCAGACTTCCTCCTTCTCTCCTGGAGCCCAGGGAAGCTGAGTGAGGGTGGGGAATGGGGAGGACTGTCTGCAACATTTCCGAGCTTGTAGAAAGTCCAGCTCACCACCTGTGTGAGGGAGGGGCTCAGAGATGCTGAGGGGCTCCCCCAAAGTCAGGGTTGGTCCACCAAGGAGACAGGCAAGACTCCTAGACCTCTCCTCCCAGACCCCGGGCCCTCTGGCAGGAAGCTGAGCCTGACTCAGTCGCAGCCAGCCCGAGACTCTGGACTCAGCAGGGCAGCTCCCTGGGATGCCCTTCGTGGACAGAGCCATCAAGCTCCAGGTCCCAGACCGAGGGTGGCAAGAAAGATGAGGATGGGCCTGGCCCCAGGAGCCTTGAGCACTGTTAGCCCAGAGCGCCTCCCTCCACATCTGTCGGCTTCGGTGTTGCAGACACAGTCATCTTCTCTTGTTTTTTGAGCACTGCAATCAAGAGGAAAAATGTACCCCTTTTGGCCATCAACCCAGACCTTGTCCACTGGGGATGCTGTGGTGGGTGAATGGGGTCCCTGAGGAGGAAAGGGAAGTAGCACAGGGCTCTTGTCTGTCCAACTTCTGGTTGGCCGGTCCCTGGCACTCCTTTATGTCGAAGTTTGGTTGTCCTATGCCCTCTTGGTAAAGAGGCTTTGGCACTCTCTCTGATCAGTGCCCTGGACCTTCAAGGCTGAGGCCACAGTCACCTGGATTGACCACCAGAGGGCGCCCGGCCTCCATGCAGGAAAGAACTTGGTGCGCGGGTCCTTTCCACCTGTGATCCTGAGACCAGAGGAGACCTCTGGAGAGGAGGTGGGTACTACAGAGATTCAGGGCCCCTTGCCCCCGCTTCGAGTGTCTGGGAAGAGAGTTGAAAGGGAGGACCCATGCTCCTGGTGCCCACCCATCTGCTGCCAGCCTTTGCTTGAGTACAGAGGGGCAGGCCCACAGGCCCCAGAGACGGCAGAAAGCCCTAGATCCACGAAGAGCTCCTGGGGAGACGCGGAGTTGGCCAGAAGCCTGGGGAGCTGCCTTGGGTGGCCTGATCATGGCATTCCAGACACAGCCTCCAGCCCCATCAGCTTTTCCTGGATGTGGGCTGCAGGAGTATGCTGGAATGGTCAGATGCAGCCTGCTTCTGTCCAGGTGGACTCCTGGGGTGGGCACTGCTTCTCTGTCAGTGACTTGTCTCCATAGCCCTGGAAGGGAGCTGCCCCAGGGAAGGCCCCAAGTGGACAACTTTTGGTCCAGGACCAAGGTACTGCTGGGAAGCCGCCCAGCAGGGAAAGGGACGGTACCTCCCCTCTCTTTCACACAAGGACATTACAGTGCACAGGGGCTGAACATGAGCAGGGCCTCCTGTGCCCCACTGGCGGCTCAGATGATTGTTCCAAGCAGGCAGCTCACCAACTCCAATGGCCCCCACGGCCCCCACGGTCCTGTGGAGCTAGAGATGAGCTGTCTGGGGGCAGCTTTCAGTGGGATGGGAGACTGGGCCACAGAGTGGAGAGACCCAGGGTCTGGGCTTGTGGATCCTCTTGGAAGGCTGGTTACTTGTGCCCTTAGACAGCAAGATCTGCAAGAGGATGTTGGAGCTGTATTCAGATCTGTAGGAGGGTGAGGTTTGGTGTCCAGGTCAGGGTGTGGTTGGTGTCCGGGTCAGGGTGTCAGGCCCCCACCTTGCACCTAGGACTCCACCAGAAATCAGGTTCTGTTTGGGGGACAGGTTTTTGTTTGATATCTGGTGTCCTATCTTGTGCAATGTGTTTCCAGTGTGTGGACGTCTCCATTCTCTTATTTAAAACAGTTTCCCCTCTGGAAACAGCTGCTACAGCCAAGAGGAGCCTCCAGCTTCTGAGAGGCCATGGAAATGAGCCCTCCCTCCGAGTGTCATGCCTTCGAGAGAGGCCCCTATGCTTGGATATGCAGGAAAATATGAATTGCTAATATATTTCCCCCTTAATTTGACAAAAATCAAGCTTAACCAAAAAACAGAAGAAAGTCTTCCCTACACCCAGACTTCCTATTTGCTCACTTTGGGTGGTTTTCGTGGGGGTGGGGTGGGGAGGGTGAACCCTGAGGGGCTGCCTCTGATCTCATCCCTGAGGGTCTGTCCCTGGTCCTTTCAGGCATGGACTGCAGACATTTGACTGGCATTGGATTTCCTGTCACACCACCAGGTAGGACGGTGGCACAGTCTGCTGGGGCTCCGTGCCTTCCTGAGGGCCTCTCTGGCTCTTAGCAGACTGAGTGTTTTTGCCTTCTGGTGGATTCTGTGATGGTGGACAGGCCACTGCTTCCCAGCCCCTGTGCCCTAGCCCTGAAGCACGCTTGGTTTTAATCCAAGAGCCTGGGGGCGGGGGTGGGTTGGGTTGGAAACATGTGCCACGAGCCAGACAAGGAACATCGGGGGCTTTGCAGGCCACGTGGTCTCTGTTGCCACTGCTCAGCAGAAAGTGGACAAGTGAGGGTGTGTACTTAGACTGAAGGACACTGAAATTGGAGTTTCATATAGTTTTCACTTATCAGGAAATATCATTCTTTAGATTCTTTGTTCCAAATGGCTAAAAATAAATAAATAAATCGATCTCAGTTCATGGGCTGTGTGAAAATAAGCTGGACCAGATTTGTCCTGGGGACCAGTGTTTGTCCACTGCTCTGTTGCATATAGATCCAGCACAGTACCTGGGGAAAAGCCAGGTCCAGGCAGTGTTTTGTAATTTGCTCCTAAGGAGTCGCCTGTGGGTCACTTTGCTGGGCTCTGTGGAGAGCCAGCACCTGCAACACCAGCATGGCTCCCTGGGAAGGACTCCTCTGCTGTCTTGCCAATCTTGCAACCACCCAGCCATCTTGGCATGACTGCCCAATGGTCCTCACATGGTGTGATGTGGACAGAAGCAGGATCTGGTCAGGGAGGACGGCTGGTCAACCCCCGCAGACCGTCTGTCATGTGCCCTGCTGAACATGAACGGTTCCCACGGCTCGTCCAGCCGGGCCTCTCATGAGTGCTTTTCTTTCCCATTTTCAGCACGGCCTCATGGAGGGAAATGAGAGACGTGGATGACCGTGTGGAGTAAGAATCCTGCCACATAACAAACATTGCAGAAAGTCTCTGTAACTTCTTTAATCATTCCAACAACAGAGCACAAAGATACCAGTTTCAAGTACATTCTGATGCACATTTTCGACAGGAATAGATATGTATTTAGTCACGAGGGGCTGGCAGCAACCACCATGCGTACACTTTGCACAAATTCTCAGCACCATCAACCTGGAAGAAGAGATGTGGGTGCCCACCTGGATGGGAGTGGGCTGTACCTTCTCCATGGCCTGTGTTTTGTTGCTTCCTGTCCTTCCCTGTCTCATTATAACACTGTGTTAAAAGATGAACAGAGGGGACCAAGGGAGTGAAGAGTGGGGACTCTGCCATCTGGCCCTTCCAGAAGGGGCCCTGCCCAGAGCTGGGCATTCCATCAGGGTGAAGCTCAGCTCCAAGGCACCCTGGTTGCCAGAACTCCTCAGGCACCACGGGTGCCCTTGACCACCTCCAGCTTTGTCAGTGCCAGACACCTCTCTCTGACCTATCCAGCTGCACTGCTGATTGGTTAGGTCCCTCACTCAGCCGGAGGAGTCGGCCTGCCCATTGTTTACCTTTGACCAACTTAGACTTGAGCTGCCAAAAGAACAGAAATTGCCAACTCCACCAGGGATTACGAACGCCTGCTTTGAAACTGCTCACCACCTGGAAGACCAAAGAAAAGTCTTTTTTGGAGGAACCTGAGGCCAGCTCCTGCCTGGAGGGCTGACTCCGTGAAAGCACACAGAGGACAGCCCCTCCCAGTGCCATCCAGTGAGCAGAGTCCTGGACACCTCTGAGGCCAGACCCTTAGCTCAGAAGCCCTTCAGGGGCCGGTCTTTCTTACTGCAGAAGCTCCCCCAGGCCTCCAGCCAGGTGAACCAGGGGAGCATGGACCCTGATGCCTAAACTGGGACTCCCCCCCAGATAGGCTTCACCTGCCAAGAGACTGCAAGTGCAGCCTTCCTGGACACTCTGCTCAGAGTGTAAAGCACGACAGTCACCTTTAATAAACCAAGGAGCTACAAGTAACCTGCTGCCTGGTCTCAGGGACACAAGCCCATGCTGATAACCACTCTGCAGAGACTGGGAAATACCAGTGTGGCTCAGAGCCCGGGCAGCTGTGCCCCTGGAGCGATGGATGCACTGGGATCAGGGAGGATGCACACTCTGGATTGCTATGAGGATTCCAAGGATGGGAGGTTGGGAAGACGGATACCTGGCCTCTTCCCTTGGGATCCTCTCTGGAAAGGTCACTGTGAGGCTTCAAAAAGCAACTTCGAACCTTATCCTGAGGATCAGAGACAGCAAGGTCAGGGAAAGGCATGAAATTGCCCTACAATCACATGAGAAGAAGGGCCCAGGGGCTCTCCCAGGGCCACCTCTGGGCCTGGGGGTTGAGATTTGCTAGTTAAGACAGGGACATCCCCTACCTCCAGGCATGCAGAGAGAACTCTGCACAATAAATACAAACAGAGCTGAGGTTTCTCCTGCACGGGACCGACTAGGGGGCTTGCTTGAATACTCTGGTCACCTATGCAGGCCAGGCTAATTCACAGTATAAGCAAGACTTCTAAAGGATATGGGGAGCCCTAGGTTTCCCAAACCAAGAAGCCAAGTAAGAAAAGAAAAAGGGCTGCATCAGTAATTCTTAGTTATTATACACTAGCCGGGCTGAGCGTGGCACGTTTTATTTCTATAAAACTATTACAAAATATTCAAAAATACATTTTAGTAAATTTACAGCAGTTATTTCTCAATTTATTAATGCAAAAACATCCTTTTTTTTTTCTCTGTACAAACTACAGGCTCCATCCTTGTGGGCTCATCACTATGTGCACTTTTAAAAAATATTTTCTAATAAATTCTTTGAAGTTAAAAATAACAGTTCTTCCAGTTTGTCAAAAAAAAGTGTATGTGTGTGAGTGTGTGTGTGTGTGTGTATGTATGTATGTGTGTGACAGAGGGGGGGGGAAGGGAAAGAGAGAAGGAGAAAGAGACAGAGAGACAGTCTTGGTTTTTCAAGAATGTGGCCAAAATGATGATTACAATGCAATATTAAACCATGAAGACAGTACAGGTGATGGCTGTTACATTGGAAACTAGTTAAATTAAAATAATATATTTCATATTTTTACACTATTTCAAAAAATGAAATGTCATTAAGTATTGATCTCTCAAAAATCTAATTTACAATTCTGTGTATAAAAATATAATTTGTGGACCCCCATGAAGCATGTTTTAGTTTACACTTGCCGAAAAGCAGGAGCCTAGCAGAGGAGGGACGGAGAGCACAGAATTCTGCCTTCTGACACTCAGGCCCAGGGGCACGTAGAAAAATAGACTCTGAGCAGGTTGCTTGGCCTCACAAAATAATCTCTCCCCCCCCCCCCGTGAGTACAGTTCACATGATAATAATAAATTATCCAAGACACAAACTAGTTAAGGCTCTTGAAGGTCCGGTTCATATTATTTAAAACATCTATTCATACCAAACAAATAAATAGCCAGGAGAGGAGAAAAATAACCAAAATAAAACAATAACCAAAAAATTCAAAAAATATATATATAAACTAAACACAACAACAAAGCTCCCCGTGGTCTCTGTTTCCTTATAGTCTACTTTGGACTGTCCTACTTTATTATTATTATTAATTATTATTATAATTAAAAGTCTCATTCCGTGCGCGTTTCCCGTGTGTCGTTTGCTTTATCTCGCTGTCGCTTCCCGCGCCCCGCCCCCGCCCCTCCCGTCCGCCTGGACTTCAGCTGGACTTGACCGCCATGCCCAGCGGGTGCAGGGCCTCGCTGTCCAACAGCCAGGTGCCAATTTGGTAGAGCAGCTGGGAGTACCAGTGGATGCCCGTGGTGGGCGGGGAAGGGGCGGAGTCGGGAGGCGCGGGGGTGCCTGGGCGCGCCGCCGGCCCCGGGCGCGTGACGCTCTTCCTGTGCGCCGCCTAACGTCTCTGTGGCGCTGGTTCCTCAGCCTCTGAGCCGTGAAGGTGACAGCCGGAGGTGA